CCCTCAGCATAGCTAAACACACATTACATATCATCTTTTGACGACAAGGCTGAGTGAGCTCTGGTGCTATTTGTTGGACGCAAGGCTGAGTATTCCGCGCTTAGCCTAAGGGCTGCTACTTTGGCAGGAATTAAAGGAATGACGCGCTCGTGGCGAGGCGAGGCGACAAGGTTTGATGCGATTCTTGGGAAAGGCTGACTAGATACCTAGGTATTTAAGGGGAACATGCGGGATATAACCTTGGAAGGGTCACACAGGAGCGCAGTAATCGGGGGTTGGGTGCACCCCTGCCCAGCTGAATGCAGACCTCCTTCAAGGCAGCCGCCGTGCATTCATCCCATAGTTTTACCCCGCAGCATCTCAGCCACGGTCGTCACTGCTGCGCACCAGCGGTATACGCTGCAACAATGCGTTTGAGAGTTGCCATAATTCCTCATGCAAAATATAGGTAGACTGATGGCTAGCTCTTGAGAGATCAATAGCTAGGTAGCTGCTCAGTTGCTGGGGGGTGGTTGTAGGCCTAGGAGACCTCGGGATGTTGGCGCGCAGAACTGCGTGACCTTGTTTCCTGTACCACCTGCAATGTGCGTGATTATTCTTATCACATGCATGAAGGTTATGCGACATCCCGATCGCTGTAAGATAGGTATGTAAGCTTGTCGCTGCGCCCGAAACGACCTCGGGGAGCTTTCCAAAGTTCACAGCGCATCCACCATCACTTCCAGCCTTATCTTGTACAAGACGGCCCCGGGACTCAACAAGACAGCTTGAAATCGTCCGCTACTAGGACAAAAGCTATCACAGGGATCCTATAATTATATCGCTCTGCTTCCAAGGCTATCTCAAGTACTAGCCGAAGACTCCGGGATGCCATCCACTTTCCTGCTGTCAGCCTGGGAGCCTGCCATTCCTGTCACAGTTGCAGATGGCCACATTCTCGACGAAGAGAAGCTGCTCGGATTTCCAGCGTTCAGTAACTGGTTGGAAGCACTCCAAAAGAATCTCACTGTGCAAACAACTCCCGGACACACGTTTGAAGGGGATCCATGGCGCCTCGAGGGCGTGAATGTACACAACGTCACTGTCTTTGACGACGGAATGATAGGTTTCATGACGATCGAGGCATTGATGAAGAAGAGCCACACCAATCTCGACCGAGTCATTTTCTTGCGCGGCGGTACAGTCGCTATCCTTATGATACTACGACCCAAGGACAACGTAGACGAGAAGTGGGTCATCTTGACAGAGCAGCCGCGAATCGGCGCATGCAGCACTGCTTTCCTTGAGATCCCTGCAGGAATGCTAGATAACAAGTCTGGCACTGTAGTTGGAAAAGCAATGGAGCAGATTCGCGCAGAGACGGGGCTTAATGTCAGGGCAGAGGAGCTGATCGACCTGACCGCAATGGCTCTTGACAAGGCTGAAACCAACGAACAGCTAAAGAACGGGGTGTATATGAGCCCTGGAAACCTCGACGAGTATATGCCAATGCTTTTGTGGGAGAAATACCTGGACCGAAAGGAACTCGAATCTTTCCGGAGCAAGTTGGGTGGCGAGGGTGTCAGAGACAAGTTGATCACTTTGCGCATCCGCAATTTCGAGGTGCTTTGGAAAGAAGGCGCGAGAGATGCTAAGACGCTCGCAGCTTGGGCGCTATACGATCGACTGGGCAAAACCGAACAGATTGAAGAGCGACAGAAGCAAATTCGCATCGGTCGGACTCAGCAATGAGTGCTCAGTAGTGACCTCCGAAAGGTTTGGATGTATCCTTATTTTATGTGAACGATATGTAGCCAGTGTGGCAATGACAGTTGTATACCAAAGCCCTGCACATATACATCCTCACTGAGCGAGTTCTTGCCGCCATGCATGTGCTTATCTCAAGGTCATCTCGTAAGCGCCGCGTATGGTTTCGAGACGAGCGGCAGGTGGGGAAGCATCGAATCATCCAAATAAAGTTGCGCGCGCATCAGAACCTCAACCCATTGGTGTACCCAGTTATAAGTGGGAAGATCTGCACTAAGACATCAAACGCTATACTGAGGGTCTCTTTGAACGAATGTCGGAATAGCGCTAACAAAGCATCATACCTAAGTATAGCTTCCTGAGATCAAGGTATAAGTACGTGTTCCACTTGACGCCTTTATCACCGTCCACCACTCCAAAGTATCTCATATTTACATTACTCCACTAGCTTCATTGCTTCCTGTTCGTCAGCGAAGCTCGGTCTTTCGGTCTTCCCATTATCCTTGAACGTCTCGGACGAAGTACTTGCACGCCACATACTCTCACTCTCTCCCTAAAAGACCTCGGATTTTCCCGCTAATAGGAGGCCTGGACACTATGCCAGCCAAACCCCCGCCCACAGTTGGCAGAACCGCGGTAAACGCCAACGTGATGATAGTACTTCGTCCAAAAGACAACACAAACGAGCGCTACGTCCTTGTCATAGAGTCCCCCCAAGCTCGCGCGCGCAAGGAACCGTACCTTGAATTCCCAAAAGGAGCATTCGACGCTTCGGGGAGTTTTACTGGTCCTATGATGGATAATATCCGGCGGGAAATCGGTTTCAAGCTATCCGAATACCATCTTATCAACCTTACGGCCTTGGTACAGGAGACGCGGCCTTCAGTCTGCGAGCCTGGTCCGCCGACAGAGCCAGCCGTACGTTCAATCCACGCAAATCCGAACACGACACTACTTCTCTGGGAAAGGTTTCTGGATAGAAAGGAGGTTGAAAATTACAGAGACCGACGGGCGCCCAACGAGGCTTGCAATATACGCATGCTCGACTATGATTACCTCTACGAAAAGGCGGAGCTCAGGTATGGCTGGGCAATGTACGAGCTTCTGCATGGTTCTGGTATTCTTCAGCAACAACTGAATGATAAGAGGATTGGAAAATGAAGGAACTGGATAGGAGATTAGGGCGACGGAGTAAATGACGATGTTGCACATGTAGACTGATCGGAAGCGCGTCGTGACGAATTTGCTCAAGAGAAGTAGAGCCATCGACCCAGTATTTGCCTGGGATGTGTGATAATGTTCCACTCTATAGTAGATCTTAGGTTGTGGGCGCCCGGGTAGTGTGATCTCCAGGCAACGGGCCAAATGCGTCGCGGCGCTTGGAAACTTTCCGCGATAACGAAACCGCGCGGCTCTGCTCGGTTGGCACTAGTCGTCGAACCAAGCGTCTTTTACAGATCCTCAGCGCATATGTGAAAGTGCACTAACTTGCATGTGCATCGTTTACGCAGTGTCATGTCGCAAGATGTGAGTCGATGCCCAGGTGGGGAAGTATCACTCATGCGAGCGCGGACCTCGCTGGTCATCTCACTGCCGGCCTTTACCCGCAATCCTCCCGCGCACTGGCCTCTGGACCGCCCTTGCTTATCATGTGACCCACTAGCGTGCCAAGACCATGTGGCTACTTATACCGCGCCGCCCCCATCCCCTCAAGGCTCTGAATACTTGTTCGTATCCCCCAACCACCCCCCTACGTTTACACCTGCTAACAATCTCTAGACCTTCTTGCGACTCATCAAGCTCAAGCATTTGATGGTCTGACAACGTCGCCTCCATTGCACAGCGGGGTGTGGTGTTGTCATGAATCTCCTTCGGGGGCTTCAGCGGGGCAATTTTTGCTGGTCTGCCACTGCGGCTTTACATTTTCATTGATTCCAGTGCCTTGCGCATTGGATTGAGGAAGATGCTTGACAACATTATAAGAGCTCCATCATTTATAAGCAAGGAACTGAACATCCAAGAGCCTACATTCAGGTCATGTCACGTACTTTGCGTGTATTCATCTTGATGTAGGCTGTAGACCTGTCCATTAGGTGCTGCTTTCGACGCGTCGCCAGCCGTCCTGCGGTGCTTGCTAACGCGTCGAGCTCCGAAGCTATCTGCGCAGCGGGACCAAAACCGCAGCTCCTCGCCTTCTATATCATGGTCTGTGGTGTAAGCTTGGTGTCTCGTCGACGCGTTTGGCCTGCCAAGCTCTGCGCGGTTGCCCAAGTACTGAATGTGGCATTCTTGTTGTTTCGCGCATTGCCAAAATGCTTACTATTGACGAGCTTCTGGTCCTACACGTCTTGTCTACCGGATCGCCGACTTCGTGCTCGAAGCGGTAGCAAGTGTCGCACGAAGCTGCCCGCGATAACATTGAGTGAGCCAAAATTGGAAGCTGTCGAACAGGACCGAATCGCACACATCCCGCTAACGCGTTCATGCTTGCGCATGCAATCCGAGGAGTCTGTACCTGCGCCGGCAACTACTCAGCACCGTCTCATGCATATCACCTGTCCCGACTTCCAGCGTATGGCCATGATCTGGACGTCCCTTCACCATCATGGTCCTCAGTCACAGGCATATAAGCCCTCGCGCAGCCGCTGTCCTGCAGTTTATCAATCGAGTTGAACTGCATGCGTCTGTGCAAGCCCTGAAGGGCGAACTTCGCGTCCCTTTCGCACCTGCACACGACACCACCTCCACTTTCTCCTCTATATCAACGCCCCGAGCTTAACACGACGATATAACCATCTACCGAGAGAATGCCGTTCGGAACGCGCTCGGTCTACGAAGTTCTGGCCAGAGCTGCATGTCTAGCTCCAACGGCCAAACGCGAAACGCGTGCCGCCCCACCATGACATCGCCATGACGCTCGTAGGATTCCCATCGCCAACCTCGATCTGCGCCAGCACATGGCATTTCCAAAAGCGTACATTCAGCTCGCGTATAGCGGACTTGTGCCCCTCCACAGCGTGTCATGACGTTAAGCTAGCCCCTCCAAGCGCATGTACAAGGGGGCGGATAATCTTCTGGTTCGCGGTAGTTGTAAGAGGGCTGCAAAATTCACGTCACAGGTTTGTAATATGTCATCGAAAATGTCGCTGGTTGGCATTGAAAAGGTAGGCGCGCTGCGCATACTGCAGGCTCTCCAACTTTGAACATCCCTCTACCTTTCACACATACAACTACACACCAAACTTTAGCCCAAGATGATGTCCCAAGCAGCCCGCCAGGCTGAGAAGGCCATTGGCCATGGTGACAACGCCACCACCGCGCAGAACGTCACCAACCCTGGCAACGACGAGAGCACCGCCGACTATTCAGAGACGATGAAGGCTTTGGCATGGTACGGCAAGAACGACGTTCAGATGATCGACACACCAAAGCCCAAGATTCTAGAGGACCGCGATGTTATCGTGAAGGTCACTGGCTCCACTGTCTGTGGTTCTGACCTGCACTTGCTTCACGGCTCTGTCGTGGAGATGCAGAAGGGTGACATCCTCGGACACGAGTTCTGTGGTGTGGTAGACGATTTTGGTCCTGGTGTCACAAAGTTTAAGAAGGGGTACGTCTATCTCCCAGTCCTTGCTCAGCGCATCGCTAACATACTATAGCCAACGAGTCGTTGCCTCTTTCCAGATCGCCTGCGGTGACTGCTACTACTGCAAGCAGAAGCTGTCCTCCCAATGCGAGAAGACCAACTCCAACACCATCGAGAACGCCATGTACGGTGGCCGGACAGCAGGCATGTTCGGATACTCTCACTTCACTGGTGGATACGCCGGAGGCCAAGCAGAGTACACTCGTGTCGCTTACGGTGACGTCAACCTACTGCCGCTTCCCGATGATGTTCCGGATGAGCAGGGTCTCTTCCTCTCCGACGTTGTGTGCACCTCATGGCACGCAGTCGTCGACACCGGTGTCAACAAGGGCGACGTCGTTGCTATCTGGGGAGCCGGCCCAATCGGACAAATGGCCGCAGACTTCTCGCTGATGCAAGGTGCATCGCGCGTCATCATGATCGACCAAAACTGGCGTCTCGACTTCGTCAAGTCCAAGTACCCCAACATCGAAACCATCGACTTCTCCACCCTAGCCAAGGGCGAGTCCGTCACCAGCAAGCTCAAGGAGATGTGCAACAACCGCGGCCCAGACGTCAGCATTGAGTGTGCCGCCGGCGAGTACGCCAAGGGCTGGGCCCACTACTTCGAGATGATGCTCGGTCTCGAGACCGACACCAGCGAGCTCATCAACGAGATGATTACTAGCACACGCAACATGGGCCGCTGCGGTATCACCGGTGTATACGTCGGCTTCACCAACCACTTCAACATTGGTTCTCTCATGGAGCGCGGTATCCGTCTCATCGGTAACGGTCAGGCACCTGTACACATGTACTGGGAGTCGCTCCTCAAGATGATCCAGGAGAAGCGCATCGACCCCTCAAAGATGGTTACCCACCGTGTCCGCCTCGAGGACTTGGACAAGGTCTACTACAAGTTCGAGAAGAAGGAGGATGGCATGCAAAAGGTGTTTGTGGAGACCAAGTGGAGTTTCCCGGCGTGGGAGGGCAGCCCCAAGTTGACCAGGTACTAAACCTGATGTCAGTGTAACGAAATTTGTAGCATAGTTTAATGATGATACCAATGTAATGAAGTCAGAATGAACACTCCATGGAGACAGTATTCGGTGATATGTGGCCACACGATTTTGCATACGTCACTGTTCCACTCCAACCGGCAACTAATACCTATATTGCAGTGTTGTTATAGATGCTACCCTGCTTGGATACTTCACGCTTAGGCAATGATGACCGTTCCATCTTTGGAATCCTTGTACTTTCCACGCCTTGATTACAAAACACTGATGCACGCTGGGGTATAAGATTTAATGATTACGTCGTCAGACCATCACATGCACGAGCTAGAGGAGTCCAAGAAGGCAAGTATCATGAATGATACGTACGTTTTGTGTAGTGCAGCAGCGCCGCTCCTACGGTACATCATTCTCCTTGGCCATTCAACGTCACCACATAACGTTCCAAGTCTTCCCCCACACGGAACGAACGATGTGTACCTCCCCCATATCAGCCCGAGCCCGTTTTTTTGATATTCCCATCCGCAGCCATATCAGCCATGAGTTTCTTCCGTATGATGGCATTCGTCCAATGCATCCTCGTCTGATAATACTTGGGCACACTATAGAGGAACCAGGCGATGACCCACGAGTATCCGACCGCATACTCGAAGCGGTTCAACCACTTCGAATCGGTGCCATATCCCAGCCACCTCCGCAATTTCTTCCACTGGTGCGCCACGACCATCTCGGTGATGATAGGTAGCATCTGTGCAACGTACCAACAGGCAATACCCCAGTGGTCGCTCATGGGGACCTGCTGCCATCTAACAAGCGCATGCATGAGGCCGGATGCGAAGAAGACAAGAGTGTTCTCGATCAACCGGGTTGAGATCGCACCGCGCTGCATGCCGAGCCAGCCCCTTGTCACGCACTTGATATGACCTGAGAAGGAGTGGTAGACATAGTTGTGCCAGTGCTTTGCCCAGTATCGTCTGACTGACCACGCGGCACTCAAAGAACCAAAGAGACTGTTAGACCACTCCTCCGGCCCGTCGAGTCCCGAGCCAACCCAAAGGACAGCGAAGATACTGTGATAGCCCTCGTACAGCCACATGGATGAAATGCACCAGTCGAAAGTGAACTCCATCCGCCAGGATATGTCTCTTCTGTCTAGGGGTAGCAGGCGGTAAAAGAAGGATAGAAGCGAAGGCGTAAGGTATGTGACAGGGTCTAGAACCCCTGGTGAGTAGTTTTCTTCGTAGTAGGTGAAGGCGCACTGGGCGTAGTAGTAGAAAACTGCTTTGAGTATGTGATAGCCGACGAACTCCCAGCGAGAGTAGCCGTGGCGGTGACCCATCGGTAGCGCAACACCGTGCTGAACGCGAGCGCTTGGTAAGACGGGCTCGTCGGTCTTCTTGTCAGTCGCAATGTATTTCTCTTCACTTGGCTCCTCCTTCGCCGCCGAAATTGCATCATGGGATGATTTCGGTAAAATGTGTCCCTGCTGCTCGAGCACCTGCGTGTGATTGCGATCGAATAGCACTTTGTATCCCTGTCTGACTCTCTCCTTCTTCTGCTCCCAGTCTCCCATATATCGCTTCTCTCGTGCGAGGACGGGCGCGAATTCCATGACGCAGACTTCGTAACTCATGTGGGCGAACCATATCAGGCATGTGCGCCCGAATGTGTCGTCAAGGTAATAATTTGGCGTCAAGTGGTCCGAGTACCGAAATGCATACCATGTTGGCAGGGCGAGGGCGAGGATGGAGAGCTTGCGGTAGAAGCGTGTGGGTGGCGGGAACGAGAGGATATAGAGTGCCCAGAATACGGTAGTGGTGAAGCACACCGCGGGTGTGATACTGTCGGTGATGCGCCAGTTGTCCTTAACGTAGCTGCCGGGCATGGTGGGCGAGGTCTCTTCTAGATGGTCGGCAGTCGCGAGACACGTATATGAGAAGATTGAAGCTTCCACGGCGTTACGAGTACATATATTCAAGAATATATGAATAGCGGGGGTGTGGTTCGGAAGTTTGGACGCGAGATCGAGTGGCCCAAGGTTGGTGTTGTGGGTACCTACGTGTAGTTGCGGTAATGAGTAGATTTGTCAAACGCGCCTGCCTGCCTGCCTGTGAGAGGATCTCGTAATCGCGACTGTCGTGTCTTCGAGCAAAGGTGCATCAGTAGACGAGACAAGTAGACGCAGGCTCTCACTGCTCACTGCTCACTCACCTGAAGTACGCTTCGCGTGCCTTCCAATATTGGGTCCAAACTCCAATGGTGGTGTAGGTACCTTCACTGCATAGTGCGGCTCTGTCTCACCAGATCAAAGTATCCATGAGCTTCTTGTACTGACCTATAGCGTCTGCGATGCATGGAGATGAGGAAAGAAGAGAGTGTGAGGGCTATGTAGCAGCTGAAACCTGGGCGTGCACGTGTGCAGAATAGAATGTGGGTATCATGTGACCAAGGCGCAGTGGATATCAGGTGTAGCACCCCCTTCAAGGGAAAAGCCGAACACCTTAGAGCCTACATTAAGATGAAAGCTTGCGAAGTAGGTGACCTGACGGCGACGTAGGCTCCTAGGTGTTCAGTTTTTCCCTTGTATGAGGTGGTAGGGTGGTTTGAATGGGGTTGAATGGTGTTGGGTGTGCCAAAGGGCGCATGGACATGGTCACGTTAATGGATGGTTCTGCGAGCCATGCAATGAAGCCGACTTTGTTCGCCTAAGGTTCATTCAAATTGCCCACTGAGGTAAGCCCTCTTTGTATCGCCTTTGCAGCTCGATCCCGATCGCATCTCTTATTCCATATTGTGCAGCTCCTGTACAGATTGCGTGATGGGATGACTGGCCGGATGTTTACTTAAGACGTTCACCTTGTGAGTCGCGGTTGATTGCGAGGGCCGGCTGCTATACAAGTAACTTTGTTAGTGCTAATTTAAGGATTATAGAGGGGCTAGAAGGTACTTACGTTGCTTACGACGAGAACATCTTCCTTAGTAGCGGTGATGTTGATGTCGTGGTAACCTAGGACGGGGACCTCGTGAGACATATTAGTATATGTAGTAGTCTCGGGGCGATGACAACGCTCCTGGCGGGATACTGCCGCAGGAGATTAGGTTGAGAAGAACGAGAGTCTTGGCGTGGTTCTTCGAAAGTCGTTCGATCTAATGTACAACCGGAGGGAGAAGTGAACTAATTATGCTTTCTATGCAAGAAAAAAACTGAACAGCCTAGAGCCTACGTTGATGTTAGGTTACCTACTTTGCAAGTTTTTGTCCTAATGTAGTCTGCAGACCTGTTCAGTTTTTTTCTTCTATGTGGTGCAACCTCGGTTTGGGCCTCGTCTAGGATGCTTCTCGTGCCAGGGCTCCAGTCAGTCCAAGAATCAACAAGCCAGCTTGTCGTATGGTGTAGCAGTAAGGAAAACCACCCGCAGTGTACGCCAATGGCAAACGTTCATAGTAATTGCTATACCACCAAACCATCTCTTGATGTATGCTCTCCAGTTGTGGTTACATTGACACCGAGATGAACATGCGGGATCGTCTGCTCCAGCTAGTAAGTCATTCAAGCATACTTCACCCAAGTCGGATATCACACATAATTTCAGACGCGTCACCATCGCATCATCCGACAAAAAGCGATCAGAAGAAAAAGGAAAGAGGAGATAACCACGGAACGGATACAGGGACAGCTGAAGATGTGTTGAATTTCTTTGTTATTACTACGCGGTCTGCCAAGAAAGAAAAGCATACTGGCCGCATGAGGTCTATTGGCAGACCGTTGTGTATTGTTGAGACAACACAGAGTTCCGTCTATGTTGAGGCTTCGGGTGCTGAGGCGGATGCAGCCCAGACGGACGCCCAGCCACAAGATGTGGCGCGTGACGTTTCGAAACCAGTTCCAGATCGTGGCGCATAAAGGCTACGCGGCCTTGCAGTGTCGCAGCCATAGGATCGGGTATATGCAGAATATGGTGTAACGCGGGTGCTGCCGTTGCTTGTGGACGCCAAGGGCAACTTGTGGTGTCATTGCGGCACCATGCGACGACGCAACGCTCTGTTGCTACTCTGAGGCATCGTGGCTGATACTTGGAGGTTTTCACATGCTGGCATACTTGTCGTGACTAGACTTGACCTTCATGTCCAAGGCCGTCTCGTGGAAGTTGCCTTCGACTCTGGATTTTCGTAGTTTCTTGACCTCAGCATCGTTCAGACGTCGGCCAATCTGGTCCTCGAGCTCCTTGCGACTAATTTTGACATTGGCCTTTTCTTCCTTGCTTGCCTTGTTTCGCGGTTTGAAGCGGGCTTGCATGCGGATGCGGAAAGTAGTGCTGAAGCTTATGTGTTCGGCGTCGCCGCGTGGCTCTGGGCCTTTGGAGGAGGATTCGTCGATGGTGAGGAACAGGTCGCGGGCAGTCTGGAGGGAGAAGGCAGAGGGATTGTCGGGTACAGGGATGACGACAAATGTCTCTTCGGGAGAGATGGCGGTTGCAGTTGCGCTGAGGACGCCGAACTTGTCGCAGCTCAGATATCTATGCCGGATTAGCCGCGCCTTCTCTATACATGCCGGGGCTCCTTACCTTCCGTGATGGCCCTTCAGACTAAGCTGCTCGGTGCCAGCGATGCGATTCGCGACAAAGACCTGGCGCACATCGTGGGGTTCGGCCGTCGCGACATCGCCGTCGACAATGTTCTCCAGCTCGCTCGCAAAGACCTTTCCATTGGCGTCGCATGCCAAACACGTGCTCGGTGTGTCGGTGGGCAGCACAATGACTACGGGACCTGTGATGTCGCTCGGCGCATCTGCGCTCACCCAAGAGTCGTCATGCTCCGCTTCGGCAGGCGCGCTCGTGGTGAGCTGCTTCGACGGCTTCTCGTCGGCGTCGTAGGGGTCGGCAGCTTTTCTGCGCTTCTTGACCTTCTTGTCGCCTTTGAAGTGCAGGGCTTTGGGCATGGCGATGGCGTTGTTGGTCGTCGCAATCAGGCGTCGGAGGTGAGAGATCGGAGCTGGCCGAGGCTGCAGCAAATCAGGCAGGTGCAGTCGAGGTGCGGACCAGATGGGACCAACCGCGCACTACAACATCACGATAAAGTCGCAGTGCTACATAGTGAAAACCATCATCCACGCCTATCTTGCTAGACGACTAACATGGCCAACGCTAATGCTGCAGTCAACCAGAGCGCCGTCGCCGTGGGTCTTGACGCCCTGAAGAATAGTGAGTGGTAGCTGTATGGTTGTGACTCAGCTTGGCTGATAATGCTCCAGATGATGTAGACTTCTCGCTACTTGAAGAGGCCTTTGGCTCGTCCAGCCTGGGAATCATCGTGGTAAAGGATCTCCCGTCCAAGTTCCATGAGCTGCGACATAAACTACTATCGTACGCCTCTGCTCTTGGAAACTTACCAGAGGACGAATTGGGTAAGCGCCACTAATCAACTCTACATCTGAAAGACCACTGACATGGCACTAGTCAAGCTCGAATCTCCAGCATCCAAGTGGCTGGTTGGCTGGTCTTGCGGAAAGGAGACGCTCAAAGATGGCAAATACGACACTCTCAAGGGCTCCTACTACGTCAACTGTGCTAGCGGGTTCGAAGAGCAGCAGAAGTCGGTTGCTGAAAAGTATCCATCCTTCCCAGAGTACACCGCGCCGAATGTGTGGCCAGCTCAAGAGCTTCTCCCAGGCTTCGAGGAGACTTTCCGCGAGCTATGTACCCTCATCATCGACATAGCTGCATTGGTTGCTCGTGCCTGCGACAAATACGCTGAAGCCAACATCGATGGCTACCAAAAGGGATACCTCGAGCATGTAGTCAAGACAAGTGTCTTCACCAAGGCCAGGCTGCTGCATTACTTCCCCAGTCCCTCGCCCGCCCCCAACACACCCAGCGGTGACGAAGACGACTGGTGTGCCACTCATCTCGATCATGGATGTCTGACCGGTCTGACATCTGCCATGTTCGTCGACGAGGCCACCAATCCGCCAAAAACAGGTGCATCATTCTCGCCCCTACAAGAACTGGATCGCTCACCGGACCCCAAGGCGGGTCTCTACATTCACTCCCGTACCGGAAACGTCACAAAGGTCAGCATACCTCGAGACTGTCTCGCGTTCCAAACAGGCGAAGCGCTCGAGATCATCACACAGGGCAAGTTCAAAGCCGTTCCCCACTTCGTGAGAGGCGCGGCGACTGGGGGAAAGGTAGCGAGGAACACATTGGCAGTGTTCACCCAGCCGAACCTGTGGGACAAGGTCGACGACAAGAGAGACTTTGCAGCTTTTGCCAAGGAGATTGTTGAGAAGAACCACTAGGGCTTAAGCGGTCATTGTGTAGCGACATCGCAGATCAGTAAATAGATAAGATGTAGTAAGATTACATCAGGTATCTCACCTGCTCATCTTACACGGTGCCAAGCTCCCAAATCATTTAGCCCAAGGTACCCGTGGACCTGAGTTGGCGGAGTTCTCCAAGAACGGCTGCATGCTGACGGATGGTATTTGGGGGTTGTCAGAATCCCATGCAGCCTCCAGGGCTTGGCCTGACAGCTGTGGCTCGTCACGACGCCAGCGCTAGCACCTGTACCGTCGAAGCTGAAGAGCCTCATTTCGGCCGCCCACGCACGCATAATCCAACGCGTCGTCGTCTACGCACGCCATCGTCGTCGCAGCGCGCTAGGCGACGTCGATGATACGCGCTACATACATTGCGCGGCCTCGAAAGTTGAAACACACAAAACAGCGGCTGTCATCTAATCTACGTCGACGATCCCGCCCTGCACTGTCAGCCGCCAACCAAACGTGGAGGGTGGGTACAGACGCTGCGTTGGGCCCGAACTTTGCGCCACACGTCCAATGTCCTGCCACGGCCGGCATGCATCTCTGCGCAACCTGAGGCACCTTTCCCGCCCTGCGCCCGTCGCCATAGCCGTGCCAACACACTCGCTATATTCGTTTTCTTGAGTGCAGTGCCGGCTTCCGGTTGGCGCGTCGTCGGCCACCGCCACAGCGAATTGCCCATGCAGAGGCTTGATGCCAAGACACTGAAGGCCTGAAACCGGTGGGGTCTATTCACCATCCACCGACGAATATTACGCGGCCACCCATGCTGGCTCGGCGCTTGTTCCCCCTTTCAGCCCCAACGCCAATTACACGGCCAAAAATCCCTATTCCTTCTCGACGCATCTCTATCATGCCAAGAAAGCGTATCCGAGATGCCGTCTTTGCATGGGGGAACTTGCTTGCACCCTTGCATTCCACTTAACCTCCTTCTTGGTTCGATCCAACCCACACCAATGCAGCCTCTATAGCTGTCACCGTCGCTCATTTTTCTTCCTTCTCTTGGTCCTCCTATCATTCCTTGGGCCTGTTTTCCCACCATCAGTCGTTGAGTCGTCTGCATGCATATGTCTTTCCTAGCAAAGGCCCCGTTATCGCTTGCGCGCGCCACCATCTCGAGCCTTGCTACTCCTCTGGAACCCGCCGCTGGTCCTGGCAAAATGGCTTCCAACAACCGCCAGAATGTTACTTGGGTTGAGGTGTGTAATTATGATATGGTATGACAGACACCTACTAACATGTATAGGGTGTTCGCGGAGTTGCATCCTTCTGGGTCGTCGTAACACATTTATGCAGGGCTTGGGACTACAGCCTGTGGTCGCCACGAGACAACGAGAATGCAGCACCCCAACTACTGCAGCTACCTTTCCTCCGATTACCGTTCCAAGGTCGTATTGGAGTCACAATGTTTGCCTTCCTCACCGGTTACGTATGCGCCATCAAACCACTCCGACAGGCCAAATCCGGAAACATCCCAGCTGCGCTCGAGACACTGGGCAAATCTGCTTTCCGCCGTCCACCGAGGCTGATTATGCCTGCGACTATTGCCCTGGTCATTGCGTGGTTCTTTGCCCAGCTGGGTGCTTTTGAGGTTGCGCACCTCAGCGACTCCCACTGGTTCCGCCGTTCCGTCCCTACCAACATCGGTGGTCTTGACACGGAAATCCCACGCTTGATCAAGAACTTCCAGACCTCATGGTCCGGCGCCAACAACGAATACGATGACCACCAGTGGGCTCTCTTGCCTCTGCTACAGGGTGCTTTCCTCATCTACGTTCTCTTGTTCGCCACCGTTTTCATGAAGTTCCGCATGCGCCTCTTCACCTGCATGGTTCTGTTCCTGTGGTACTGGATGCGCACCAGCCCGGAAAAGGGTATGTGTAGATATCTGAGTTCCTTGACTCTTAGCTGACATCGTTAGAAACCTTCGAGTGCCAATTCCTCTACGGTGTCATCCTCTGCGACCTCGGCTCCGAGAAAAGCTTCCGCGAATTCGTCAACAGCCGCGTAAAGGCCCGCCGCATCGCGACCGCATTCCTCATCCTCCTCGGCTGGTACGTGGCGTGCTACCCCGGCGAGCACTGGGAGTGGTCGACTTGGTCTGTTCAGCTCAAGAACATCGGAGACTGGATCATTCCTCAAGGCGCGGCAAGCTACCCTAAGCGCTGGACAGCCATCGGATGGGATCTGATGGTCACTGGAATCTGGCTATCGCCTTCCTTGCAGAGCATGTTCTCGAACAAGCTCTTCATGTGGGTTGGCCGCAACAGTTTCGCCGTATACCTTACCCACGGAACGGTCATGAAGGTCGGCCTCGCGCGCCTGATCTACGGATTCAGCACCGCACCTTACCACGTCGAACAGCCAAAGGACGGCCAGGGCGAGGCCATCGAGCACTACATTCCCCGGTCTACCAACTGGTTCGTCTGGGCCCTCGCTATCCCCATCTTCTTCGTCGTCGAATACACCATCGCCCATCTCTGGACCACCTACGTGGACGCACAGTGCGCGAAAGCCACCAAGTGGCTCGAGGACAAGATGTTTGAGAAGAACGAGGATGAGAAGCACGGCGCCGCCAACATGGCTTAAACCAACACAATGCGCAATATTCCAAGCATCAGGAGTTACAGATGAGAACCTCCTGCTCGATTTCCCTTGTTATCGGATTTTCTTTTTTGGGTTACGATTTCCTTTGTCGGTTTCATCATCATCTGCGGATACCAATATTCGTCGCATTTCACGGAGTTTTTGGTGTCGAAGACAACCATCATAAAGCACAGAGCTTTCTTTAGATGAAGCAAATGTCCTCGTGTCGCAACGACAAGATACATGTGACACTGTTTAGCGTAGCGAATAGCGAGTCGAAAGTTCACCAAATTATCTAATTCAAACAATACATCAACTCCAACATCTCTGCGCGATCCTCTGCCAACGTGTTCTCATCTCAGCAGTAGCATCCGATCTTCATTAATGCGCGGTGAGACTGACAATTCCCCGCAGATCACAAACCACGCAGCGATCTCAAATCTTGGCCGCCTCATTATGGAAAGTATCGCAGCAGACAAAGTCATGAAGCCCGAACAAATCAAATCAAAATAAAAGAACCGAGTTAATTACGCCATTGCCAATCCCCGCCCTCATCACCTCCTTCCGTCAAGAACCCCTTCCCTAATCCAATCTCCGCCTTTCCCCAATCGCCTCCATCGCAATCCTTCAATGACGTAGACTTCCCTGCACGCCTGCGCAAGACCCTCTTTCCCGCAGGAGCACTCTGGCCCACTCTAGGGCGACCAAGAAATCCACAAGACATCACGAGCCACATGCACAACTTGTTAAGCTTATTGCCAAGCTCGCTGCTAAAATGCCGCGAAGGGGGCCTTTAGCCACAAAGGGTCTTCTTGGCGGAGGTTGGAACCGGCTGCTGCCAATTATTACCGCTAGCTGTGGCGGTGGGTGTTGTGTATGCGTGTGAGGGTGTGCGAGAGAACGCATGGTGCCGTGGCAGTGGGCGCGTGATGTTGTTGATCTGGAGGAGGAATGAGAGTGTCTTTCTGGCGCATGGTCTGTGGTATTCCCATCGTCCGCTGTGATCACGCATCTGGAAGGTTGTGGGGGGCAGTAAGAGCAGGGATGCATAGGCTTGCGCTCCTTTGCGGTCTAGGCGGAACAGACCCTGCGATGGGTTTTCTACCGAACGACACTCTCGATGGATTTTTTTGCTCAACGACGTCATCTCCCTTTCTCCGCTTTCGCTAACGCGGAGAATGTCCTCTTGTGGATTGAGACGGTCCGGACGGGTATATTGACGGTCGTATATTGGGCCGTTGCATTGTCACGTTCTTCGTTGTTACGCGCCGATACGATGAGCAGGACGTGTCTTGGGTACTTGGCGGATGAGGTTTCGCATGGTTTCAGCTGCCTGAGCAGTTGCAAGGGAGTCTGAATGGACTCCGATGTTGAGGAAAGGAACGCGCGTAGTTTGCTGAGTGAGATTCGGCCGCGTATGACCTGGCCTTGTTCATGGCATCTTCGTACAACAGTTGTACAACATGGGCAAATACCTAGCTGCAAAGATGAGCTCGGAAGGGGTAAATGGCGACTAATGAATGAACAGGCAGCTTTCTAAGAAGAAAGGAACATCGTTTCAGACGCACGAGGAAGTAAGTATTGAGAGCATAGGTGTATATTCTCCTAAGCTTAGTTACATGCATCCTTCTCTCCGCAGTGTCTCATACGTCCAACACTCATCTCTTTCTCTTCTCCCCGTTTCCTCATGATGCTCAATCCATCAATCCATCAGCCTCTCAATGCCAATACTTGGACCCCCCGTAAAAAGTCCTACCATATATTTGGCCCCGCGGGTTTATGCTGGGTAGTCGTCTCTGCTGCGGGTTACTGGTGTAATATCTGCGATCTCAGCCTTCTGGCATTATGGAAGGAAGTCTAAAGGCATTCCTTGGTAGTTCAAATAGTCTGTCGCTTCGATAATGTACTTCGTATGGACTGGGGATCTTCGGTTGCGAGATGTATGTGTTGAAGCTTGATGGCTGTTTGGTGGTAGTTATCTGTAGGTGTTGTTTAGGGATGGGGTATGGGGTAGAAGGCTTTGGTAGATCAAGGGACTTGTATGATTGCTTAGTGGCTTGCTTTGGGTATCGTGGACTATGGACTGTGGACTGTGGTATGAGAGAGGTAAGAGAAACATCGCCGCGACGTTTTATACGCCTGGCTTCTTCAATACCGCAGCATGGAAGAGGACAGTGATGACTGCTCGCGGGAGGTACGTCGCAGCTACGTGTACGTTAACAGCTGTACATGTCTCTCATTGAAATCACCGAGGGCCGCTTTGTTGGCAACTTTGGTTTGAACAGGCAGCTCTTAGAATAGATACAACGCGATATTTTGGTGAGACAGGATCAGTAGATTCGAAGCACGTAAAGGTAGACATTTAGATAATGCAGGTGTGTATAAACTCATTCAAGCTAAGTTACATACATTCTCCTCCTCGGTTCACCACACGTCCAGAACTCATTCATTTCTCTTCTTCCTGCCTCCTCACAGTCCATCACTCCATCACCTCCAACCATAATTCCAAGTGCCGTCCATGATGCTCCTGTGATCTCTCACCCATATCTGGCCCCGCGTGTTCATACGGGGTAGTCGTCTCTGCCCGTTAAAGTCTCGTAAATCCCCTCGGGTTCCCGGCATCATGGGAGGAAGTCTGAGACCCTGCCTTGGCATTTCACTCAGGTTGTGGCGGGGATAAGCAGCTCGGCCTTCATAAGGGTTGATGGGCATTTTTTGGTCGCTGGAAGGCTACCTGGGAAGGTAGGCGTACTGTGGCTGAATGTGAGTTTGGTGTCGCTATGTGTGGTTGCTTTCTGGGTATGAGTAACGAGACTTCGGTCGATGGAGTAAATTGTATGCTGGCTTGGTTGCTTGCTTTTTGTACTGTGGATTGCGATATGAAGAAGGTTAGAAAAGCATCGCAGCGGCGATATATATGCCTGTCTTCATTCAATATTGCAGTGCGCATGAGAATCGCAACCACTGCTGGCGGAAGGTGTGCTGTTATCTTGTAGCCGTATGTATGCTGGTAGCTCTTCACGCACTCGGGTCAGGTCATCAAGGGCTGCTTCAAACAGTACTTGACACGGTGCCTTGTTTTCGTACGGACACGTCGGAATATTCAATGAAGCTGTATACAATGCTTGACTGTTGGAAGTACGTTTGCTCAATATTAAACAGCGTGTCTCCCTTGCTTCAATATCACTAATAGCAGAGTGAACTAATAAGACGAGGTAGCAACCTCGCAACACTAAGACAACGGGTTGAGGATGACTATAGATATTGAATGCTTCTGAGGGACCCGGAGAAGCGGAGTAGAGAACGATCACCACATAGACATATACTCACAGTAGGAACGGGTTTCGAGAACGCGAGAAGCATAAGCTGAGATAGTTTGATATTATCACATTACAGAATACCCCCGTGCCTTCTTCCTTTCCACTCTCCTAGCAAAGCCTGCAAACACGTGAGGCACATCACATTCAGTGTTACCCCTTGACTTCCCATCTACCTCGGAGGTCCAGGCCCTAACCACCTCCCCGTGGAGCTCCATCCGTAGCCCTGTCCGCCTCCCCCAGGATAACCTCTTGGCCCATACGATGATGAGCCCGGGGGGAATAAGCCAGGAAACTGCGATCGCGGACCAGGCAGAGGTCCCCGAGGAAAGTCTTGCTGTCCGCTGTAACGAAACCGTTGATCTTGTTGGAATCGCTTGAAGTACTCCATTTCCCCTATCAGGTCTTCGTAGGAGTCTCGTGGCATTTCTGAGGGACTTGCTGGAAAGCAGGGCTTAATGATAAGTGTGTTGTGTTGTGTTGATCGGTTGGCTTGGGTATAGTAGTAGAGTTTTGCTTTGGATGCTGGAGTGTAGAGAGTAAGGAGGAGGTTTCGCGAAAGGTTTTATATGCCGCATTGTTAGTGAAGAGCGTTGGATGTGGAGAAAATGTATTGTAGGCGGTTGTGCAGTGAACTCGGTCGTTGGTACCCGTGAAGATGTATAGCGCAGGTTGGGTAGAACGATATGACATTGTATAGAGATAGAGAGGACGCGAAGGAAGCCTTGATATAGCGTCTACATCGGTAAAAGTCAGCGTTCGATAGCTAGACACATAAGTTATATATGCCAAAACATACCCCCACCTTGTGCACGAAACAAGATTAAATAGGTCTGCAAATTACATTAAAATAAGAACATGCAATGTAGGTAGTCTAGCACTAATATAGGCTCTAGAATCTTTAGTGTTTTCTTAAGTTAACGTGTCCTTTCCCTTCCAAGGTTCATACTCTCAATCAAGTAACGCGACACAACCTCACCTCAGCTATGCACGGCCTTGCACTTCTTTGCCTTGCAATCCCTTTTATTCATCATATATCTCTTTTTATTTCTAGTTTCACAAACCCAATACCCATCGTCTTGAAAGTGGCGTCTCATATGCTTTCCCCATTCATCATCGTCCATAGCTCCAGCCCATACACCCTCGTACTCCCAACAAATCAGACAGCTACGCCTTTCAGCTCCATAGTTTATGCTAGCCGGTAGGTGCGATTCGAGTATAAAGGAACATGAAAGTCGTTGGTACGTCGACCAGTCTTGATAGTATGATTGGGGGTAAGACAGCTTGATGGAAATGCCACAGTGTGGGCACTTATGCTGATCTTTGTGAGGCGAGTAGAGTGGCTTGGTTTCGGCATGACGTATAGCGAAAGCCCCGGGACAGAAACCAGGGTTCATGTTGAGGAGGTGTTTGATACACATTGACCAGGTCCGTTTCTTCTGGCGACAAGGCCGCTTCGATAGTATGCGAGCGCATGTTGTGAGTGGATGTATTTTTCGACCCTGTGTTTTTCCGGAACCAGCGTCTACAATTTCAATCTCGCCTTCTCGCAGTTCGATCGTCTTGTCAAGGGTACCGTGCGGTTCTAGGCCATTTCGCCGTTCAATCTCGAAACCACGTGCGTCTTCGTTATTCTCGATGTACGCATTTGACACACGTACCCCACCATCCGAACGCTCGCTTCCTAAAAGCTCATCCTCTTCTTCGGGACCTTCGCCATCAAGTCCGTCCTGAAATCCAGAGTCTTCTTGAGCGTATACCTCATCATGGTCATTTGGTCCAGCGCCTTCGCGCGCGAGCCAATATGCTACGCGAATGGCACTTCCTCTGCGTTCTGCTGGGGTACTGGGATATGTGGTTCTGCGGATAGGGGTGGTGTATGGGGATGAATGACCGGGAGTCGATGAGTAGGGTGGTGGAGGACCCTGGGCATCGTCCATGGCGACGGCTCGGCTAGATCTTCTCGATCCTTGAAGTTGCATTCCTTAGCTTGAGTAGTTGAGCAGCCGAGGGAAGGCGAATATCTTATGGAGGATATCAGTCGTTTAATGGCGGGGTCAGTGATGTAATGTGCGCGAAACCCGTATGGGACAGGTCGCTTGAAGCGAATATGTCTACCATGGTACATCCGGTCTCTGGATCTTATCTTTCCAACACAGTTCCTCCCAATACTGTCTTATCTTAATCCACGCGTCTTATCCCCACAACTCTATTCAACCTAGCCTCCACCCCTTCAAGCACCCCTCTTAGATCTTCAACATCTCTCCCAATATCCGACACCATACTAAACACCTGGCCCACCTCATGCGCCGTCCGCCTACCCTCCACTCTACTCAACACTGTACTAAGGTTAATCACTTCAGCCTTCCTCCGTACCCACAACCACCTCCGTTGAAGATCGCAGTTGGCATATTCCAGACCTAGACGATTGCTATTACGCATGTGACTAGCTGGGGGAGAATCATCGTCATCGGAGTGCGGGTAGTATTGCGCTGCGTATGGTGATTTCTCAGATGGAAACGGCGAAGGTTGAGTGGACCACTGCGCCGAGTCCTGGGATTGGTATTCTGGTTTCAGAAAGGGATACTCGAGATCTCGGAACTTTTGGATGAGGTCGCGGATGGTGACGCGCATCACGCTCAATGCTTCTTCCTCGCCGCTTGAGCGCATACTCTGCATGTCGCGGTCGAAGTGCATGGTCCTTCTTTTGCCGCCTCCCCTCCCTCGTCTGCTTCTTTTTCGACTTTCGTTCACAGTCTTGCCACTACCGTATCCGCCGTGATACTCTTCGGAATCACTTCTTGCGCTGGGACCGCGGCTTTGGTCTCTCAGTACGTTCCTCAGTCTCTTTCTCACTCTTCTCAAATGCCTTCTTTCTTCCAACAGTCCTTGCTTCAGGCTTGACAACATATTTTTGATCTCTTCTGGTGCGGCATTAAGGGTCGCTAGATTCGACCATGTGACTTTGAGTAAGGTGGCGAGCGTAAAGGTGAAGGAGATGAAGCCGATGATGGTTGATATCATGGATAGTGGGGAGAAGGCTGTGTGGGATATTGTCACACCCATCTCGCAGTCTATGTCGCCTGAGGGATCAGTGCTAGTAGTGCTGAGTAAGCCTGGTTCGTGGAAGGTGGATGTCGTGGTACAGTTGCAGGTCGTCGATGAATTGGACCAATGGGCGCCTACGCAACAAGAGATGTTTGTTTGGGTTGTGGTTGCACGGAAATGTCGGCAGCAGGCGTTGTCTACGTCTGCAAGACATCCTCCGTGTGGAATTGTTTCCAAACGTCACGATTTGATCAGGGCAGGTCCCCACGGTTGCTGGCGCCGACCCAATCATTTGTAAGCGGAAATAGCCTGACTGATGCTATGGTCAGCCAAGCTGGCACATTCAAGTACGATGGAAATGACTTTCTTCCTTTTGTATCGAGCGTGTTTGTGAGACCGACAGATTTGACCACAGTGCCGTTTGCTGTCTTTGCAATATCATATGAAAGCAGTGTTGGGCCAGGGTGACAAGCGAAAACCGCGTCTTTGCATGTCTACATTCGCTCTTGCGAATTAATTCCATGGCACATACTACCAGGTATCGTACACTTTTATATATACACACGTCTAGAACTTGTAGACCTGGTCCTTGCTGTAGCCAAGCTCCTTCAGCATTCCGTCAAGCTCGCCCTGGTCGGACGGGCTCTTCTTGCCTCCGCTAATAGCCTTGTACATGCCTGGTGGTCCACATACGAACAGCTTGATCTTCTCGCCTTCCTTGGGCTCAGGCAGAACAGTCTTCAAGAGCTCCTTGGTAACGTGTCCCTTGCCGCCTTGCCATGACTCTGGTGGGTTATCCAGAACGTAGAAAGCGCGGAAGCGCTGGGGGTATGTGTTCTCCAACTCCTCCCACTCGCGCTTCAATAGAATGTCCTCCTCTGAAACGTTGCCGTAGATGAGCGTAACCTTGGTCTTGTCCTCGGGGTTGCGGAAGATGTGTCGTGCGGTTTGCCACATGGGTGTGATACCGGTGCCACCAGCGATCAGGGCAATGTGCTCATGCATGTTGGGCTGTGAAAGAGGTTTCAACGTTAGTGCTTGCTTCACGACTAGAATATCGAGGAGGCTCGTACCTTCCATTGGAACTTGGGGATAGGTCCCTTGATGTCTAGCCGTTGGCCTGGCTCCATGTTGTGCATGTGCTGAGACATGGGGCCGTTGGGGTAGGCCTTGATGATGAAGTCGACAGAGCCCTTCTGGTCCACGTCGCTAATCGGGGTGTATGGTCGGATAACTGGCTTCTGCATCTCGGGGCCCTTGTACTTGGTAATAACGGCCGCTACGTGCAGTCAGCATGTGTGGTGATCGAGACATTCTGCTGATAGACATACATGCTACAGGCAGACCGCTCTCCATGTCCTCCTCCGGCAGCTTGAAGCGCAGCTTCTTGGTGTTGTGGTTGACGACTTCGATGTTCTCTAGCGCAAGCGACACGAAACCCTGGTCGCCTCCAGTGAAGGCCTTCTTGACGGCGCCGGTGGAAGAGGGGATCTTGTTGGCCTCTTCTGATGGCGGCGCATTGCCCTTCTGCCCTGACGGCGCGTCGCCGCCCCTCATGAACAAGTAGGCACCGGCGAGACCGGCAGCGCCGATACCTGTGTAGAGGATGCCATTGTTGCCGCTCTTGGGCGCCTCAGATGCGTAACGGCGGACTTGCTATTTTCTGTCAACCTCCAAAACTGACATTGGCGATTTGTAATCTCGAATCAGACGGAAATGTGAGCGCATACCTGGTGCAGCGTCTTGGCTGGGCGGAATACCTGTCTGGCAAACATGGCGAGACGAATTGGTATGAGAGGAGGGGAATGGTGATAGAATTGAGGTGTTTGGAAGAACAAGCGTTATCCGGGTGCAGGTGCTAACGACGGAGCTCATCGTACGCTAGCGCCAAGCAGTAAACGTCATCGCTGTTTTGCCGGCCCGTCTGAACCCAACCCTCATCCGTCTCCCAGTGCATCTTCAACACTTCAACAGTAGTGCGACAGTCCATGCTATGTTCATCATGTCTGATTGAATGCCACTGAGAATTTCCACGGAATATCATACAGCGGTAGTCTGCACTCCATACAACAGCTATGGCAGAGAACGAGAAAGACCGCTCCGCCCGGGATCCATCAGCGACAGATTGAGCATGTTTCTTCGGCACCTCGAGAAATGGACACAATGCGCGGCACTAAGCACCAACTGAACAATATACACACTAGCCACCTCGCGACGAGATGCTGACTGACGAGGCCTCTGGACATCCTGTCGGCTATGCAGGACTGCAAGCAATATGGCGAGGCATCACATCGCAGATGCCCCAACACGTAACCCGGGCCTGTCGCGCCACGTTCGCGGAAGCCTGTGTCGGAATCGCCATCAGCACGATATTTATTCAGGCTGAGCGCGCTACATGTTTAACAATACCGGACGGACTAGGTTGACATTGTCGCATTGTGCTGTTCACAATGGGTCAGCTGCTCACGCAGAACGTCTGAATCCGCACCTTTCGACTCTGGCCGCTCTGAACATCGCCCCTCAGAAGCCTACAGAAAGTAGAAACAGCGAGCAATCGGATCTGCAATGGTAGAGACCGCGTGTCCTTAATGGCACAGACTGGACCCTGGCGACAAGTGAAGGGGAGAAGCTCGGTCCAGCCAGCTCACAGTGACCGTCGGACCCTACTATGTCATTTCGGCTGCCACAGATCTCTTAACTACGACCCTTTCTTCGCTGTTTTCTTTATTCACCTCCGGTACAAATATACAGCTTACTCTAACGATGTGGACTTGAACAACTTTAGGCGCCTATTCTCGAACGAGTGCGTTTCGCATACTTTTCGGGTCGCTAGAGCTCTTTAGGCGAACCATCAACTGTCGCCCTCAGACCGCTGGTCGCAATCGAATCCCCACGAAGAACTACGATTTACTTACTGGCTGGAGCCAGGATTACTGCCGGTGCACACAACTCTCAATCGCGTCGACATGGCTTCGCAGTTTCCGACACTAGCTTCAATGCGGCAACCATGCGAGCACAACTATACTTATGCACCGAACCTTGTCCCTGACTCAGCACTTTCAGTCTGCGCAGTCTGCATCACAGAGGCTCGCATTGGTGAAGTAAAGTTCGCGACATTTGCGTTGGCTCGCCGCGGTGGTATCTTCGAGTCCTCAAAAGCAGGGCCAGAGCTGCGTACGAATGGTATCGATGACCTAGGTTGGATGTCACACAAGGATTGCACCAGCCGGTGGAAAAGGGCAAAACTCGATTGTTGGAGACTTGTTGCGAACCTGGAGAATCTACGAGATGAACAGTTCGACATGGCTGAGGAGTGGGGAGTCGACGAGGCGCTGTATATTTGGGAATTAGCAAGAGACGAATGTTGGAAGGTGCCTGGCTGTCAATATTTGGAATACCCCGCTTCGAAAGAGGTGGATTTGACATCACGATCGCCAGCTATTGAGAATGTCTCGGAGCCTACGCCCCAGGAAGAAGAAGATTCTGATGGTAGTTGGGAGAAGGTCAAGCGCAGGTGGAAGAGGAGGTCTCAACAGATCTCATTTTCAGACGACAACGAACCGCTGGATGTCGATCAGATGAATCTAAAAGAGATGGAAGGAGTCAACAATAGGCTAGCAGATGCAAGGTCGACACCCAGGAACCGCTTCGACAAGATCGTCAAAACCAGTAGAAGCGCCACCACAGTAGCTGTCGCACAAGCCGTGAGCAGGTCTAAAGGCTTACTCCAAGGGGACACAAAACAAGTAAGGACATCTCTTTCGCTGCCTCTAGTCAACTTAGCGGCTGATGTTTTACAACAGTCCGCTTCTCTCCCTCGCAAATCAGTCAGTATCAACGCGCAAGCCACCATCCTCCCTTGCGATTACACTCCAGCTACGACGATGTCACACCACGAGCACACAGTCATAGAGCGGAGCCGCGACCGCCCCACTTACAGTCGAAGTTCCCGTTTCTACACGCCCTCATGTTGGGCGAGTCCAGAGGGCTACGAGAAAGATGACACCAGTCTTTCCAAGAGCTCTTGGGCGACTGTTGACCAGCTCCAGAGGGAATTCGCGGGTCTGGAGGTAGACTCTGAGAAGAAAGAAGAGGTGCTTACTGAAAGAGCTGAGGAAGCTGCCGCCGAGCAAGACAAGAAAGCTAACTTGAGGAAAGTAAAAGACAAGGCCTTTCGCGCACGGCGACCGCCATGGCAAGGAGAGAGGCTCTTCCATGATAGCTGGCAGGGTGCTGAGCTTCTTCACATGAGAGACTACTTCAAGAAGGCGCTCGCAGAGGATGCAAATTTGTCATCACTGAGTCAATCGCACCGCAAGGCATTGGCGAGGGGTCTTCATGACTGTGGTAGTGCTCTGATGCAGGAGGAGAAGCAGAAGGAGAAGAAATGGGTGGATGCGGAGAGTGAACGATAGGTAGTACAAGGTACTGTTTGCGGTGTCTGTGAAGGAGAAGGGTCAAGGATGGAAAGAGGCGTACCTGTATGCGACCAAACGTTGAAAATAGCTACAGATCTTCCATACACCGTTGCGAAGTATAATTATGGGTACACGTCGCTGTCCCTTCAACATGACAAACTACGCTGTCCTTATCTTTTGTCACACTTTCTGACCCGTCAAGTGCAAGTTCAATCACCGCTCGAGGGTAAAAAGTCTCCACCGCTACACGCAACTACAACCTCACCAACAACGATACACAGCATACAGGAAAGTCATACCGCACGCTCAACCCAAATATCTACGCTAGCAAAAGCAACACTTGTCCGTCCAACTATCTACATATTATTGTCCCACGTCGCCTCTCACTACCATCCTCAAGAGTTACCTACAAGCACGTACGCCAAACAAACCATGCCCGACAACCCCTATCCCCAACGAGGCGAACATCGGTTGTGGTCGCAATACGGCAGTACGCCCCGGCATGAGCTTCCCAATAATGGCCGTCTTCTCGCACCCATCAGACAGCCCGATGCACATGGCAAAGTTACTCTTCCAGGCACCCAAACTAGATGGTTCAATGATATGGGCCATGCTAGCGGCGTAAATCGCGATACAGATCACTGGCATGGAGGAGGTCAGTGGGATGAGTACAAGTCGCCAAACATGGGTAGGGGTGGATGGGGATGGGGACCTAGGTGGAGAGTGGGATGGAGTAGCGTTGAACTTGGTTGAGAGCTGTTAAGCAGCCTATTCGAAGAAATCTAGTCGCTACTGATACACTCATTGCGTGACTCACTACCCGTATTGGGATATCTGTGAGACCGACATATGGGCCCGGCCTAGAGGAGAGAATGAAAAGCCACCTCGGTAGCCCCCCGCAGAACTCACGACTAACACCGCTCTCTGATATTCCACTTCATCCAAAGAGCAAACAAGGAAGTTTCGTAGTCCAGCATTGGGGTGGCTTTGCGCCGCTGTTCTCTGACACCAGCATGGCGAGCTCTCATCTCTTCCTGATTTTGTATCAATCCTCGTCTTCATTCATCGTCGATAGCGAAGATACGGAGACCCAACCCGTGTGTAGTTCAATCGTCAAGATCAAAGACGATGAAATCTAGAGTACCTGGAACGGTGTACCGCATGATAGTCTTGAGAATTGTCCCTGGTAGCTGCTTCAATCTGGATGACTTTTGTTCACGTGTAGGACCCCAGACTAAGCGACCGTCGTTACTGCTGCGTACAAAGTCCCTTGAAGAGACTCCGACCTCATACGCGTTCTTATCCTCATGATAATGCAAAATATCGGCTGGCGAAGCAAAGTTGACTATTCCGTACTGGTCGTCTCCATCAACCCAGATGGAGCGAATCAAACGACCAAAGCCAGCGTAGCGTCTAAGACCGAGCTCATCTTTGGTACTGAGATCGGCGATTATCTCACCAACGATACTTGCCGAGGTTGACTCCAAGAATGATAATCCCAAATAGGGCTCATGTACTCTCTTATCGATTTCGATTCCTGATCTTGTATACTCGACGCGAGATTCCAGGCCAGGACGTAGCCATAAAGCTTTAAGGATTGGTGCGCAGTTTGTCCTGCCAGCTATGTCACACTCATCCGGACAGAGTGCGCTAGTGTCGATGACAAGTCGAGTCAAGAGCTTGTATTGGGAGCCAATACTCTGAAGCCATCTCACAGCGGTGCGTAATTGGCGGAAGCTTCCATTATGGCGATGTGGAGCCACCGTAATGCGAATCTTTTGACGCCCGTAAAGTATACTTGCGGCTTCGTGGTAGACTTGTCGACAAGTGCGCAGTAGTGACATGGGAAGACGAACATCTCGGACAGCGAACGCATGCTCTTGAATCCGTTCAACATCAGCGGAATCTTCTTCGGAATCTAAATCGTCGAATTCTTCTTCCCAGACGGGCTGCCTTGTGTACTCATACGCGTCGATGATAACAAGCTCATCGTGCAACACAAATGCGTATTCGTAGATTGCGTTGCGAATCTCCGGCGGAAGTATAGTGAGGAAAGACGGGGTGCTCGAGTCCTGTGGTACCGATGGGCCTTTCCGAATCGGTGCGGCGATACGCATGACCGCGCGAGTGGTAGGAATGTAGGAAGGCCTCGCAGTGTTAGTTCGAGAGTGATGTGTCGCAGCGGCAGCGAGCTGCGAACCCACCAGTTACTAGGTTGTTGGTATCGATTGTCCAATTCGGGATGTGGGAGCGGTTCGTCGTAATTGGGGTGGAGAGAACAAGGAAGCTCGACGAGAGCGGGCGTGGATTAGGTGGTAGAGAGGACCGTGCGTACAGACAGACGTGCATGGGAAAAGCGATAGCTCCTATCGTGGCCCCCGAATGAAGACGGTTACGTATTAATAAAGAAAGCAGTCACACTCCCAAGGTCGCGTCGGTAAGAATGGGTTATTATTCGTATATAGTATCAAAGTCGTAAACTTGGCAATAGGCGTCATGAGAGCAGTAGAGATAGTAAGAAGGTATACACAGAAGCGAATATGCAGGATCCGTAATCTACAACATGCGATGAAACTATGCTGGGACCGAATGATACGCGCACTGAAGAGAGCGTTGGGGGTATATGGCGGAAATAGAAGAAAAGTGCCCATCCAAATAACACCCATGATCTGAAAAAGCGTCCAAGATCCGAAACGAAAAAGGTCCATGCGTTAAGTGCGTTAGGCGTTGATTATGAGGTTGCGCTGACTGGTATCTTCAGGATAGGCCCCGAAGACGAAGCGATAGAGCTCGCGCAGCCACTTGAATGACTCGCTGCGGCCCAGCCATTGCACCGATCGTCCAATCTCAAGTGCCGTCAGCCTGCGGAGTGGTTGAGTGTGAACGCTTCGTAGTGTCGGGTCTGCAAGAACAAGTTTTCGGTAGCTCTCGAACAATTGACTTTGCCACGTCTCGGCGCCGAAGCTGTTGGACGGTAAGGCACGAATAAAGTCTGGGAGGGGGATCTGGCGGTTGTAGCCTGTGTTGATGGCTGCCTTGATGATCAGCCCTTTCAGGCGGACCAGGTTGGCATCCTCTCGACCAGCGGTGGCGGTAGAGGAAGTGTGTTGTGAGGCGTCAGAGTATGTGGAAAGGTTGGAGGAAGCGGATGACCAACGATCATGAGTCCGCGTCATGCCAGCTTCTGGGCCGAGAACAAGTATGTTTGGCACGTTGGGCTCATCTGCGGGCGAGAACTCTTCGCGGTCATCGAAGATGGTTGTTGGTGTCTCTGGCTGCATTGGCGTCGCATTTCTCGATTGAATGGCTGAATGGTACGACTCATTGACACTGGAGGATCGCCCAGACCGTTCCGAATACGCAGTCTGGGAGCGATGTGTCATGGAACTGCGACCGACCGAGAAGGCATACTGAGTGGGTCGTGGAGTGCCGCGATCAGGCCGCACTTGTGTCCAGCCTTCACGGAACAAGTCACACAACTCCCAACACGCCTGAATTGCCGAGCCCAGCAGTTCCTCGTCGGCTGGCTTGCCATCCCGGCTGTTTTGGCGGAGACTAAAAAGCATTTCTGCCAGCGACCAGCATGCGTGGAGTAGTGAATCGGTCTCCTCTGGAAGAGAAGTACGCTGCTTCATCAAGCGATGGCATAATGTCAGGTAGAAATCCAGAGTGCGTTCACGGAATGTCTCGGGTAGCGTGCGATCATGTGCGTTGTAGAGATGGTTGTTCAGCTCAAAGCTGACTCTGAGCACCGAATCAGAAGCCTCATCGCCGCGTTGACGCACGTCGAATAGTGCCTGACAAAAGTCGCGGCAAAGCTCCAGTGTTGGTCGAATTTGCGTGGAGGGGTTCTCCTCTCTACTTTCGTAGAGCTTCTGGCAAAGTCGCCAACACGTTCTCCAGGCATGTTCTTGCATATCAGGACTTCCACCGGAGTAGTGGAACATGCGTGTTCTGTGGTGTTGGCTCAACTTGGCCAGCGAGTTGCAGAGTGTCCAGCATTCGTCCAGTGCGCTTCGCAGGGCCGCCACTTCCTTCTCTGACTCTTGAATGCCGTGGATCGCCTGACCCATCGTTTGAGTGCCGATGGACATGGACTCGCCGTCTTGCGATTGTGATGACTGGCTGTCATCCTGTTCGATGACGGAGCTTGCAGAAGAATCAGTGGTAGCATGGTCGTCGTACTCGGCGATATCTGTGCATGTTAGCGCGTGTGCCTCCCGATATGCACGGAAACGTACCCGCGAGATTCACGCTTTTACGAACGCTGCGCCGCCTCAAGTCCTCCTCGAAATCCTGTCTTGTCTGGGCACGCGGCGTACTGCGGTCGGTAACTGAGTTGGACACGGCGGTATCAATGGGCGTAGTGTAGGCAGAAGATGTGTGCTTGTCCTCGACATCCGGAAGCATGTTGGCTTCAGGCGTTGACGGCGATACGACAGCGGTGTTATCTGACGTGTTTGCGCTCGACGACCCGCCAGACGTCATCCGGTTCTGGTTCTGGTTCCCACGTCAGCCATGTAGTGCAACCATAACAGAAGGGCACTCACGAATTGCTTGAAGGTGTCGGGCGCATGGATAACAGACGGCGGGGCATCGTCCGAGTCAGCCCTGCGCACGGCGGTGTTGAGCTTATGGGTATGGGGCTGTCACAGGTTAGATGACTGCAGGCAGGTGCGGTGGAGGGTTGGCATGATACCTTTGCGGGCCCGTCCTGGCTCGCCGGGCTCACAATGTCGTCAGTGCCCGGCGATCTGATATCGCTCATGCCATCTTCGCTTGCACTTGGGTGATTGACTTGGGCATCGTCTTCGATCTGTAGTGGGGTCAGCCCCGCGCGTTCGTATATCCACCCACGACGCGACGTACCTCAGTGTGATCGGTATGGCTTGTGCCGTTGCTGTCGACGGGCGAGGGGTCGACGGTCGCCGGATACGGGCTGGGCGGTGGTTGCAGGTGGTCGGACGTGTGCCCTGAGGATCTTGGGGAGTCCATGTTAGCGGGCAGTCGCCAATGCTCTCGCAGCGAGGGCGTCGCACCTATTTGAGAAGACGTGGGCGAAGGTGCCCGGTGAGCTGGGCGAGTCCGTGTAGGGGCTGAATGCCGACATGGACTTCAGGCCACTCGGTGACGGCATGAGCTGCGTCGCGGTTGCCATGCCTCGCGCTGCTCTTGAGGAAGGCACAACAGAGGCTGCGCCAGGACTGCGCCGGATCTACGCTGCGGTGGGAAGGAACAATCGCGCGTGGTCTCGCGATGGGCTGCCTATCACTCAGACGACGGGGTTGGCGAGGCTGAGCGGCGGGTCACGAATCAGAAGGGAAGGCGCGAAAAGGGTGGGCGGCGGGCGAGCGCTTGCGTCTAAGGAAAGAAGGACGGGACGAGGCTTATCAGAGCAGGCCAGCTGCCGGGAAGAGGCTCAAGGTGCTTGGTGCAGAGAGGTGTCGTTGTTTGTTTCAACACTGCGACTCTGCCTCGGTGGAGACTCTCAGCGCAGACAGGCGGCAGGCGGCGTCAATCGTCTACCTAGCAGCAGCAGCGAACTGCTCGCCCGCCCGTGCACTACGCCCGCTTACAACACCTGTCCGTTCACCACCACCGCTGGGCGCCGCAGACGAATCGCCGCCCTGGGTGCTGCTAAGCTTCAGGGATGCACTGCAGCTTAAGCGCCCAAACCCACGCTAGATGGCGGGCATGGTCAGCGATCCCGCGCCGTGCGTGCCAGAGACACGACACTGGATCCTCTAGAACAGCCATCGCTACCAGCCTGGCTCCCTCTTCCGTCTGCTGGTGCGAACCCCTCCGATCCATTGTCCTACCTGATGCCGTCCCGCGGAAAGCAAACGGCTGCGCGGCCCTCCAAGGTGTAGGTAAGCAGCCCCTTGGCATCATCTATTCACCCAGCATTAGTTCCTCGCATGGCGAACGTTGCTGCAGACGACTAGGGCCAGGCCTCCTTGAGACGCTAATGCACCCTTCCTCAAAAGGCTCCATCAGGTGCTTGGAGACAGCACAAGTGTGCGGCACAGTCACGGTGCCCTCCTACCGTTTGCTCTGTCTCCAGTCTGGCCCCATCGACATCGACGTGGCGGCCTTGCATCAAATGAAGGCCTGCGTGGTGTGATGACTTCCTGCTCGCAACGGTCCGTCGACACATGGCATCCCAAGAGCCTCTTCTTGCTAAATTTGTAGGATCGTCATCGGTATCGCTCTTCCACTAGTTCATCTCCAGATTCCCCAAGCGTATCAGCGTCCCCGGCTACCATGGGCTCGGATGCTTAGATTGGCCAATCGAATCCCCAACTTTTCGACTGGGACACGAAAGCATACAATTTTTTCTCCCACCAACCTACCACAGCTCACGCCGCGCGTATCTTCGATAATTCCATTAGTCTGGCCTACAAGCAGCTACCTGGTCCATGTCCACCTTGACAATCGCACCAGCTGCCCTTCTTCGTGCGACCTGCGCCGCTTCCGCGTTTGACATTAGCCGCGCCCAAGGCGGCTTGCTAATAAGCGCCGTGGAGCACAGGACATTCTTTCGGCCTTTGTCTAACCGACAGGTACAATCTATTAGATGACTGACAGGAGGCTGCAGCTACGGCCTGCATAACTCATGCACACAGGTCTGTAGCCGATCGGAACGTGCCTTTCGACGCCAACTACGCAAAATGCTGAGTATATCGGCGACGTTGGAACCAACACAGTTTCATGCGCAGGGCACGCTACAATAGTCGATGAGCAATGGCATGGCTTTGAAGAAGGTGTCTAACATACTCGGTGCCCCACTCTGCGTCGATAGCTTTTGTGTATACACCCAACCGAAGCGACCCCGCTCTCACGTTATCGGCGCTTACTCTCATCGTTTCTTTGGCAAACCTCCCCACCACCAACGACATCTAGACTTATTCGGATAATGGCATTCAGATAGTCCGGTGCATCCGGAGTCATGATACTGGGTGGCCTGAAAGCGATCCCTACTAGCGACTGCCACGCGATATCCCAGGATGCTGGTACGATGGCTACCCGAAAAGCGGGCGTTCATTCCTGGATATCGTGCTGGAAGAAGAATTCCTATGCCAAGTCCACCAACAATGGCAATTATGCGCATGTCTCAATCCACAACTGCTCGGATAAGGGCCGGTACATTGGCCTTTGAAGTGTTGTGCATCCCACCAACAGCTGGATTGCCTGGTACGAAGCAGCTCATTGTTTCCCCGGTTGTACCCAAGACTAAAGGGCTCTTTAGGTTTGCTATTGTAGATGCACAAGACACAATAGTAGGATCAGCCGAGCGCCCTTTCTTGTCCTGGGCGTCGTTCGAAAAAGCAACCCTTCGTAGTGTCCGTTTCCTCAATACTAAACCAGACCGTTGTTGGCTTCTTAGGCCAACATGGGCGTCCTCACCGCTCAAAAGGTAACGCAAATCGCAATGAAAGAATTCGAAGCCACCATTCTACCCGTGACGCTATCCACAGCATGAAATCTCCGAGGGGCTTAGCTTTTGGAATACTCCCTCCCGTGCCGGGCGCTTCTGCAACCCATGAGGTGCTTTGCGGCGCACGTCAGCCCTAAACGAGCATGCCAACGCCTCAGAGTCAAACACACGATTTGTCACAGTCTGCCTTGGGCAAACAAAATGAATCTGTGCGACTGACGCTGTGCGGCAACAAGGAGGCTCAATGTTGCACCACATCTTGGACAACATGATTGCACGCCTCTGACCATCACCAACGAGTGTACACACAACAAGTCTCGCCTGATGGTGCCAGATGTCGTAGTAAGCCCCGATCAACATTCGCTTATGCGATTGCAACGCAGATGCTCTCCCATACGAGTGTACGCTACATACAACAATAGGGAAAACATACCTGCCGCTACACAAATTCGTTGGGTGTACTCCTAGCTACAACAAACGCGACAGCATATTGATAAAACCCGTGGTGTGATAATATCTCTCGCTACATGATCTGAATCAACGACTGGGTCTACTGCATGTGCGTCGGAGTTACATCCAACGACTCCAAACTTCACACAAAGAGACGTACCGTCTTTCTGCCACCTTTCTTTGCCAGACGCATGGTAATGCAAACCATGTACCATCAGCAAGACCGGTCTTTGACTGATTGCGACGTCGGCAGTGTACGCTCGTCTAATGTATATGATCTGGCACAAGTCTTCTCGAGCTAGCCGTCTACACTCTTGATAATGGGTGAAGGGGAAGCGAGATGTCAGCCAATGAGGTGATGTTACCAGCCGCTCGGCTCAGACACCTCTTGTCGAGATCTTGCATCTTCCACCATTCTTCAAGCCACAACTTTCGCGCAAAGTCATCAGATTTACAACCGATGCTCTCTACGCCTGGTATACATTGCTGCGATACTTGTTGACCACTTAGGGCCATGGACTGCTATCGATAACCATACTTTCCATCTCAGCCCGATGGGCCGCAGCCTGTCGATCCTTTCGCTTCTACGATGCACAATTCAATTTGATACGCAACGCATTTAGAAGGTCCGACGTTCGTGGCGTTTTCATGGCCTCATTTGGGCGCTCGTTGCGGGGCGAGCTTTCACCGGTATCGTATTCGGACGATACTTTCAGCCTCTTCAGCTGAAAGCCTCGGCAGACCAGTCACCTTGTAGCCTAGAGGTAATCGCGCTCACAGCAAAGAACGTGAGCTGTCTTCCGCAGTAAAGAATTCTCTCTTTCACAATCGAGTCTCTTACCAGTCGCTCTCATAATACTCGAGTCACCAAGGTGACTTCCCGCACGAGTCATGCCTCTCGTTCGGCCCCCACCCCTTCCACCTCGACCATACTCAGAATCAGCAACCCCGCAGACTAAACAACCCCCAGCCCTTGGATTATGCAAACGATCAAACTTCACGCAAGGTCATAATGACTGGCTGCAAATCAAATCGCCAAGGGCCATCCCCAACTTCGACATTTGTCCGGATTGCTACAACACATCCTTCCGCAACACTCGCTATGGATCCTTCATATCTGCCGGTCCCGCCAAACCAGCTAAGATGTCTGTTGTCTGCGATTTCTCGTTCCTGTGGGTGAGACTAGCTTATATGTGGTTGTTCCAAATGGGACAACCTGATTTGAGCTTACTGGGCGAAATCAGTAGCATTGATCCTGACAGGGATGGCATCTGCCCGAACTTCAACATGGAGGATCCAGTGGTCAAGAATGGAGGAAGGCCAGAAGTCATTAGGACGTGGTACTGTCTGCAAGATCCAAAGACTGGGTCGCTGATCGAAGAGATGACAGCCTGTTCATTCTGCGTGGCGCACATAAACGTCCTCTTTCCCTGCCTGAAGCGCATATTTGCACCGATTGCAAACGGGCAAAGGCTTCTCGCTACCTGCGATCTAATGACGCAGGGAAATGGCCAACAGCGGTGTATTGAGATTGTTGATCAGATGGCCGCCGTTGCGCAAAGTACTCTTGAAACGAAGACACGAGACATCACACCACTGATCGATTTCGTCAAGAAATGGGGTCCAATTCCTGCCTGTCAACAAGGGACATTGGTCTCAGGCCAAAAGCAGTACAGCTTCCCTTCTGCGGTTCCGGAGTTCACCGCCTGCGAAGAGTGCTACCTCAGACATATCGAACCTCTCTACTCTCAGTCACCCCAACCAGCAATCCTTGCGCAGCTTGAGGAGCAGGAGGCAAAATCCGGAGGCTTCCTGTGCGATCTATTTTCACCACGTCTCCAGTCCTACTTCACAGACGCAAGTCGTACAAACGACATCTCCACCTTCCGCCAAAAGCTCATGGCACGAAACAACAAGATGCAGGAAATTGAGATTCAGCTTCGGCGTATGAAGCAGGAAATTCAGCAGTTGAAAGCGCAGGAGAGAATGCACAGGAATCAGATGATTGTTGCGCAGTCGCAGGCCAGAATCAGAAGTACACAATGGGCTGTCAGTGGCTGGAGTGCACCGCCGGTGAGTACTAAATCGGCTGGCATGTCGCCGTGAGAGGCAACGATGGTGACTAACATCTATGCAGATTGATTGGGGCATAACAAACGTGGAGATGGCGAAAGCAAATGAAAAGGCGATGCAAGCGGCCATCCTCCAGGACAGCATGACGGACTTGGAAAACGAATGGATTAGATATTGGAAGTGAACAGGCATTTTGA